TTAGTCCAATTCTGTATCCTTCCCTTCAAGGCTCAGGGGTCCAAGATTATCTTCTGTGTCTGTGTTAATTGGTTTCCCTTTTCTTTGTTGAAGAGGGTCTTTGCAATCCTTCTGCCTAGTCCGCCATCTTGCCGGAACTCCCCGATATTACCTGTCTTATATTTGATATTGGTTATTAGTGTTTTCTTCTTCTTCCTTTTTTTGGGGGGGCAAGTCTAGCTATTACAGATTTTACTGATGTTCTCAAAAGAACCAACTTTTATTTTTATTGATTTTCTCTATTGTTTTTCTGTTTTTTCCTTCCTTGACTTCCACTCTGATCTTTTATTATTTCTTTTCTCCTGTTTACATTAGGTTTCATTTGCTCTTCCTTTTCCAGTTTCTTAAAGTAGAAGCTGAGGTCATTGATTTGAGACCTTTCTTCTTTTCTAATATAGGAGTTTAGTGATACAAATTTCCTTTTAAGTACCATTTTCATGGCATCTTACAAACTTTGATATATTGTGTTTTCACAAAGGAATGGGATCAGAGAGATTTTCAAAGGTATTAGTAATGTTATGTTTCTTAAGCTGGGTGGTTGGTACATGGGCATTTGTTTTATTGGTGTTCTTTATACCTTACAAATATTTATTGTAGTGATACTGCCTCGGAAACCCAAGGGAAGGTTGTTGTGAGTCGGGTCTGACTCTACGGCACATAACAACAACAACAACAACATTCAATATTTAACAAGGAACTTATTTTTAAAAGTAAGAATGAGAGATGAAGATGTGATCGCCTCTTTTGAGCAATTATATTGTGAAGTGAGGCAGAGAAACTGGATAATAATGAAAAAATGATATGGGATAAAAGGAGATAGTCTTTTTGTATTGTTTTATTTTAAAGATGAGTGATTCCAAAGTAAAGTTTCTGATTCAAAGGAGAGTCATATGCTCTATAGAACCATACCAGCAGGTGAAAAAGTCACAGCATGATGTGTTTATTTATTTAACCAGATTCTTGCCTTGGAATAATAATTTTTTTTCTCAGTTTGCAGTCTGGGTTCTCTTCCAGTATAGAAAACAAATACTTCATTGAGTCCCTAGAATTCCATACCAAAAACTGTGACTTAATTATCTTAGTCTAAAAAATTTTCAGATCAGATATTGCAATCAATTACTTGATACATTTAAGCCTTTTAAACAACATCATAAGGGAGTAAGATAAAGGTGAAAGCATATTTCTTCTTACTAGCCAGAGGATAAACAATGAAATAAAACTGTTTACAAGCCATTTGTGTATACTGTTAATAATTATTTAATGACATATAACTTCAGAATGCTTCAAAGACAACTGAGTAATCACTGAACTGTGCAACTTACTTGATTTCTGTCTATATTTAAAAACATTCTAGAGGTAGACAAGATAATGGAACACACTTGAATAACGACGTGCTTTTTCGTCTGTTTTTTCTGTATGGTTTGTCTGCGGAATCATTTTTCCCTCCAACAGGCTGTGTGGTTCCAGGGGCTGGTGCAGTTGAAGTGGCAATAGCTGAAGCTCTTATTACAGACAAGCACAGTGTGAAAGGAAGAGCTCGTCTTGGAGTCCAAGCTTTTGCTGACGCCTTACTCATTATTCCTAAGGTAAAACTATTCTGATGTCCAAAGGAACAACTGAGTAGACATAAAGGTTTTTGACTGCAAATTGCCCATATTATTCAACAGCAGAGCAGAAAGACAGGTACTTATTTGAAAATACAGTTTTTCTCTTACATATTTTACAGCAAAAACTTGGAAATTTTGGTGATAAAAGTTTAGAATGCTTACAGAAGCTCCATGAGATAGCTAGATTACTCCCTTGCTTCCTTCTTGAAGTATGCTTCTTGAGAGTAGCTCCAAAAATTTCCTTCAGAAATAGTTCATAATTAACTAATCATGGTGAAAAAGTTTAGAACTAAAAATTTCATTAGATTTTAAGATAGATCTTTATTTTGTTGGTGGTATCCAAAGTGTTGTGATTTTAAGTTGTGAAAGGTAAGGACTTCAGGCTGTTTAGCACTCCCATATGCTAGCTTGCATTTGTCATTGTCATTATAATTCCTATAGAAAGGAAGAGAAACCAGATATTTCCCATGTGGCAAGAGAGGAACAGAGAAATACAGTTCCTTTTTTCTTTGCTTAATCTGGTTGTGAACTACTTAGAAATACAGGAAAACTATTTCATATATGCTATTATCATGAATTAAAACATGACTCATAATGCTAGCTAAGGTTCCTGCTTGATAGTTGCTGTTCATATTATCCATGCTTTGTGGGATCTTTGTGAACCAGATTTCTTTTTTTCCTAAGGAGTGGTCCTGTAGTTGACACAATTTGGTAAGCATGATACACATTGGTGATACCTTTTTCCTCCTCACGTTTGGGACGACTTGGAATATGAACCTGGTTTGGAATGTAGATACCTCATCCCTGTTGCCCTAGATCACGGCTGTCCTCAAGGAGATGAGGGGCACAAAGGTGCTGCAAATATGCAAATGTCTAGGAACAACTGGGAGACATGTGGCTGGAGGGATCAGAGGAAAAAGAATACTATACTACTTTCCCAGTTTTATATTTAATCTTTTGCATGCAGGGAAATTAGTGCAGTTGGTTGGGGATGGGTCGCCTTAATGTCCTCTTTAGAATTAAGTGTAATGGGCATAAGATAAGTGATTATTTAAATATAAAAATTACTAGAAAGACAATAATTTGATTTAGATTAAGAATGAAATTCCTCAAAATAAGAATACCATGATTAGCATGTTATGGATGTGTTTTCACAAAACTAGTGAATAGTGCCTTATTTTCCATATTTGATATTGAAGTACATATGTGTAGGTATTCCAAAAAAATTTATTATTTTTATTTCTAAAGGTTCTTGCTCAGAATTCTGGTTATGACCTGCAGGAAACACTATTAAAAGTTCAGGCTGAGCATTCAGAATCAAAACAACTTGTTGGCATAGATTTGAATACAGGTAAGAAAGTAAAGAAAAATTGTTGTTGTTATGTGCCACTGAGTCGGACCGAGCCATAGCGACCCCTCCTTGGGTTTCCGAGGCAGTATCACTACTGAAGTAGATTGCCCCATCTTCCTTCTGTGGAGTGGCTGGTGGGTTTGAACCACCAGCCTTCTGGTTAGCAGTCAAGTGCCTTAGCCACTATGCTACCAGAGCTGCTTTATAAAGGAAGAGATTTTAATATAGTGACCCAGATTTTATAAGAGAATGAGGGTTTAGGTGACTTTTGATATTTAAATTTTAGTTGTCTTTGTTGTTGTTGTTGTTATTTGCTGTCGAGTTGGCCCGACTCATAGCGACCCCTCCTTGGGTTTCCGAGGCAGTGTCACTACAGAAGTAGGATTGCCCAACCTTCCTTCCGAGGAGTGGCTGGTGGGTTTGAACCGCCAGCCTTCTGGTTAGCAGTCAAGTGCCTTAGATGTCTTTAGTTTACTCTTAAACTTCTTAAAATATTTATTCACTTAAGAAATAGGTACTAAATGCTTATTTTACTCTTGGGATTCATCACAGAGCAAAACAGACAAAAATCCCTGTCCTTGTGAGTTTATGTTCTAGTGGGAAAAGACAAGCAGTAAATAATATGCTTAATATGAGCTGACCATTTACATTAGGTAGATACACTCCTTGGAAAGGTCTATCATGGGAGTATAGAAGGGCTGTGTATGCACAGGGAGGCAGCTCAGGGGGCAAGAGTGCATGGGAGGGAAGGACACAAGGAAGAGGTAACTATGGGGAGGAAGTGAGAGGGGAGCTGTTGGATTGTAGGAAATTGCCATTAATGTCATGAGAGAAAGATTTTGTGAGCTACTGTACGGAAAGTGAATATACTCTAAACTTTCATCCAAATCACAATAAAAAATATGCTTAATTAATAAGTACAATTAACATTTCAGAAAATAAGTCCTAGGGGAAAAAAAAGAGTAATATAAAGATGATCATGAATGCTAGCACAGAAAGGCAGGGGCATGGAGAAGGTTGTAATTTTGAATAGAAGTGTGACATGGTCTGGTTATGCTTAAAAGGATCACTCTGGCTACTCTGTGGAGAGGAGTCTACTGAGCATCTAGAAGGTTGGGGTTGCCATTAACTGACTTGGACGGTGGGGGGAGCAGGTTCTGACATGGGCTATCAGCATTTGGTTTAGGGAAAGTTAACTTTAAAGTGTCTATAGACTTCCAAGTGAAATAGGTAGCTGTATGAGTCTGGAGCTCAAGAAATATCTGAGCTAGAGATTCATTTTTTTTTTTTTTAATTTTTAAAATTTTTATTGTGATTTGGGTGAAAATTTACAGAGAAAATTCACTTTCCATACAACAGTTCACATACACTTTGTTTCATGGCATTGACTACAATTTACCCCAATGAAACAGCTCCCCTCTCGCTTCCTCCCGATAGTTACCTCTTCCCTGTGTCCATCCTTCCATGCGCTCCTGCCCCCTGAGCTGTCTCCCTGTGCATAAACAGCCCTTCTTTCTCCCATGATTATTCTCTCCAAGGAATGTATCTACCTCAGGTAAATGTTCAACTCATATGCCTGTCTTTTGTTTGGCTGGAAGCCACAAGTGTGGGTTCAGTTCCAGACCTGAAGGGCAGCTAGGGGCCATAGTCTCAATGGTTCACTCAGGCTCTATCAGACCACCAAACCTGATCCCCTTTATTATTATTATTTTTTTTTCCAAATGAATCTGAGTTTTGTTCCACATTGTTCTCCCTCTCTATCCAGGATCTCCTCCATAGATTCCTCTCTGAATGGTTGACAGTGGTAGCTGGGCACCACCTAGGTCTTCTGGTCTCATAGTCATATAGGCTGTGGATCCCATCGTATACCAGTTGCCAGGACTAATTGTTTCCATGAACCTTTGGTTTTCTTCATTCTTCTTTGCTCTGGACGAGGAGAGACCTATCTTTGCATCTAGATGGCTGCTTGCAAGCTTTTAAGATCCCTGTCGCTACTTGCCAAAGTAGGAAGTGGAACTATGTTTTGTGTAGTATGTTATGCCAATTGAGCTTGATGTCTCCTGCGACTATGGGCTTGAGCCCACCGGTTCAACTATTCAGTCCCTCTGGGTAGTTGGCTGTAATCAAGAAGTGACTACAACCTTGTCCCTTGTCAGTTGAGCTGGAGATTCTTAATAATAATTTCATCTAAGATGAATCTGTCATTCTAAGATGCAGCAATTTGTCTCTCTCTGTCTGGAGCAAAGAAGAGTGTAGAAAATCAAAGACTCAAGCAATTAATCCAAAGGACTAATGGACCACAGTAGCTACAGGCTCTACTGTCCTGAGACCAGAAGAACTAGATGGTGCTTAGCTACCATTACTGACTGCTCTGGTTGGGATTACAATGGAAAGTCTTAGACAGAGTGTGAGAAAAATGTAGAACAAAATTCAAAATCATGAAAAAGACTAGACTTACTGGCTTTTAGAGACTGGTGGAAACCCTGAGACTATGGCTCTTAGATAGTCTTCAAACTTAGAACTGACCGCACTCCCAGAGATCACCTTTTAGCCAAATAATGCTTTTGTTGTTGTTGTTATGTGCCGTCGAGTCAGCTCCGACCATAGCGACCCCTCCTGGGGTTTCCAAGGTGGTATCACTACGGAAGTAGATTGCCCCATCTTCCTTCCAAGGAGTGGCTGGTGGGTTTGAACCGCCAGCCTTCTGGTTAGCAGTCAAGTGCCTTAGGTGCTATGCTACCAAATAGATAGGCCTATAAAGTGAACCATGACACCCATGAGGAATGTGTTCCTCAGAAGAGTCAACCAGATGAGACCAAAAGGGCAGCATTTCCCCAAAAACAAAGTTCAGAAGGTAGGAAGGGGTGGGAAAGAGGGACTGATGGAAATGGGAAACTAGAGAGGAAGTTGGAAGAGTGCTGTTACATTGAGGGTATTGTAACTAACATCATAAAGCAAAATGTCTATAAATTGTTGAATGGAGAACTAATTTTCTCTGTAAACTTTCATCCAAACCATAATGATACTACTACTACTACTAATAAAGTCTCAGAGTGTAGATAATTTAAATACAAAAGAATAGTTAAGATCTCTTGAGGAGTGAGTATATATAGAGGAGAGAAGAGCCCAGAACTGGACCTCCAACATTAAGAACTTGGAGAAGAAGTAGATAGTTAGCAAAGTAGATAGAGGAGGAGCTACTAGTACAAAAGAATGAAAACCAGGAGTGTGTGGTATCCTGGAACACAGTTGAAGAAAGAATAGTTAGGAGGGTATGACAAGTGTTACTGATAAATGAGGTCTGAGAATTGACCATTGAATTTAACAACATGATGTCATTAGTGACCTTGACAATAATAATTTTGGTGGTGTAGTAAATATTATTAGACTATGCCAGCTAATATTAGTAGAATACATCAGGTTTGTAATATTCAAATAATTTGCTTTTACTTTGTAGGTGAACCAATGATAGCAGCAGATGCAGGAATTTGGGATAATTACTGTGTGAAAAAACAACTTCTTCACTCATGGTAAGCTTGTATTAATATGAAGAGGGAAAAAATAACTTCAGGGACATAATTGATACCATTAAATTTTTAAAAATTACTTTTGTCATCATACAGTGGAAAAATTGTAAAGTATATGAGAAGATGTATCTAGTTGTGAACATTAGCTTTTGTCATTTTACAGTCCCTTTTATATTTTAGTTCTATTATTGTAAGTTGTAGGAATGGTTAATCTCACTGCTTATTTAGTAGGAGTAGGGGGAGAAACTTTACCTGCATAGTGGAAAAATCAAGTGATGTGTTAAAAATGAGCTCAGTTTTGCTGGAATATAAAAATGAGCTTCTTACCTAATCAGTAAAGGAGTTGAAATTATACTACAGGAGGTGATATTTGTATTTATAAAATCTCACACTTGAAGAACAAAATATGCTTCAGAGTGAATTGGTAGGCGTTACTCACCTTATCATCTTTTTTCTCAGCACAGTGATTGCTACCAACATTCTCCTGGTTGATGAAATTATGCGAGCTGGGATGTCTTCTCTCAAAGGGTGATTGAGTTCAAAGTCAACTTCTCTTGGAAGCTGAGATTTAAGACATCTGGCATCCAACTACCATTATGTAGCCCAGGCTATTCTTAATTTTTATACAATAAATGCAGTTTGTATTTGTTGATCTTGGCAGTCTCAAAAATATTTTATCAAAGTATAAAGAGCACAAGAAATATTTTCATAGTAAAGGAATAATAATGGAAATTTTTTTACCCTAGAGTCTTAACTCCCCAACTCTTTATCTCATGCTACTGTGATTTCCATAAGATAGAATCTATTATAATTCATAGAGCTTTTAGACAATTTTTAATTAACAAAATATGGAGCACAGGTTTTAGAGCACCCAAGTCAATTTCCAATGTATAAGAAAGGTAGCGATATAGTAGGACTAAATGTTTTATTCTCTCTCAAAACTCCTTCAGTAACTACCTGTCACCACTCTTTTTCTCTCATACATATGGCATTACTTTATGACTATAGGAGCTTTGGTGGTACAGTTGTTAAGGCATTTGACTACTAAACAGAAGTTTGGTGGTCTGAATCCACCAGCTGCTCCATGGAAGAAAGATGAGGGAGTTTGCTTCTGTAAAGATTTGTAGCCTTGGAAACCCAACGGAGGTCACTATGAGTTGGAAATGACTTAGTGGCAGTGAGTTTGTGAGTATAGCTTTGGCTTGCGTTGATATATAATATCTGACTCAGTTTACTTTGTATATAGTTTATTACATTTTACCTAGCTCTGTTGTAGTCATTAATTTATGCTTCTGTGCTAGCTCTTCGACTAGAGGATGGTATAGACAGGTTCCATTTGGAAAGGGGGAGCTCTGGTGGTATAGTGCCTAAGGCATTTGACTGCTGACCAAAAGGCTGGCACTTCAGACCCACTAGCCACTCCTCGGAAAGAAGACTGGGCAATATACTTCTGTAGAAATACCATCTTGGAAACCAAGGAGGGGTCTTTATGAGTTGGGATCAACTATATGGCAAGAAAATTTAGGGAGCTCTCTCTTGTGGTGTAGTGCATAAGGCACTTGACTGCTAACCAGAGGGCTGGCGGTTCAAACCCACCAGCCGCTCCTCGGAAGGAAGATGGAGCAGTCTACTTCTGTAGTGATACAGCCTCAGAAACCCAAGGAGGGGTCGCTATGAGTTGGAGTCGACTCGGCGGCAGTGAGTTTGAGAGTTTTTTATTTGGAAAGGTGAGATTGTTGGCACTAACGCTAGAAAATAGTTTTGACCTTGGATGCATTAGTTCCTTATAGGTATTACAGCAATATATTTTTTTGTTCCAAGCTCTAGAATTAATCTATTATACTTTCTATTATTATTGTGATTAACTTCTTTCCATGGATGCCAGGTGATAAGAGATTAAAATACGGCAGTTACATTAATGGAGCTTCTACGTTTTAGTACATATAGGAGAGCATTCCTTTAACTACTTAATGCCTTAGTTGAGAGCCTACTATTTTATAGCGTATCACTTTTAGTTAATATGTTGTCAACATTGCTCCAAGCTAATCATACTTTTCTGGCTATATGACATTTCACTATATGGTTATATTATAGTTTATTTAACCAATTGTTTCCCTTTTTTGCCATTACAAACAAAGCTCCATTATTAATCTTTGTTCTTATTCTATAGGATTGAACAGGCATATCAGTCATATTGCCAGGGCTTTTTAGTGTAAAATGTTTAAATTATAAGATATTCCTAATATGCTCAAAAGTACAGAAAATAATATAATAAACACCCTTATATCCTCCAGCTAACTTTAGCAAATAGTAACATTTTACTATAATTGCTCAGATTTTCTTTAAAGAATAAAAAGGTATGCTGTGTTGTTGTCTGGTGCTGTTGAGTCAGTTCAGACTCATAGCAGCCCTGTGTACAGTAGAATGAAAATCTGCCTGGTCCTGTGCCGTCCTCACTGTCGCCATGCTTGAGCCTATTGTTGTAGCCACTGTCTCTGTCCATCTTGTTGGGGCTCTTCCTCTTTTGTGCTGACTTCTAACCCTCTACTTTACCAAGTATGGTATCCTTCTTCAGAGAATGGCCCTTCCTGATAACATGTCCAAAGTATGAGAGATGAAGTCTAGCCGTTCTCATTTTTTAAGGGGCATTCCAGCTCTACTCCTTCTAAGATAGATTTGTTAGTTCTTCTGGCAGTCCATGGTGCACTCACTATTCTTTGCAAACACTGTAACTCAAAGCCATCAATTCTTTTCTTGGTTTTCCTTATTCATTGTACAGCTTTCACATGTATATGAGATGGCTTGGATCAGGTGCGTCTTAGTCCTCAAAGTGACATCTTTGCTTTTTAACACTTTAAAGAGGTCTTTTGTGGCTGATTTGCCCAGTGCAATATGTCCTTTGACTCCTTGACGCTACTTCCATGGGCATTGATTATGGACCCAAGTAAAATGAAATTCTGGACAACTTCACTTTTTCTCCATTTATTGTGATGTTGCTTATTGGTCCAGTTATGAGGATTTTTGTTTTCTTTATGTTGAGGTGTAATCCATACTGAAGGCCGTGGTCTCTGATCTTCATCAGTAAGTGCTTCAAGTCCTCTCTGCTTTCAGCAAGCAGGTCAGTTAATGACTCTTCCATCAATCCTCATGCCGGACCCTTGATTATATAGTCCAGCTTCTTAGATTATTTGCTAAGCATATAGATTGAATCAGTGTGGTGAAAGGATACAATCCTGACACACTTTCTGATTTTAAACCGTGCATTATCCCTTTCTCTGTTTGAAAAACTGCCTCTTGGTCTATGTACAGGTCCCACGTGAGCACAATTAAGTGCTCTGGAATTCCCATTCTTTGCAATGTTATCCATAATTTATTATGATCCACACAATTGAATGCTTTTGCATAGCCAATAAAAGACAAACATCTTGTAGTCTCTGCTTTCAGCCAGCATCCATCTGACATTAACAAGGATATTCCTTGTTGCACATTCCCTTCTGATTCCAGCTTGAATTTCCGGCAGCTCCTTGTTGATGTACTGCTACGACTGTATAGGATATGATTAAAGTGCCACCTACTCCCATGCATTCCGTATGATATTTTTCTCATCCTTTCTCCCTAGAGGTAAAAGATTACCTTTCTCCCTAGAGGTAAAATCACACATATCATTCCCATGTAATTAAAAAAACAATGACTTTGAACACATCAGTATATACCTAAAAACTCACTGCCATCGAGTCGATTCAATTCATAGTGACCCCTCCTTGGGTTTCTGAGGCAGTATCACTATGGAAGTAGATTGCCCAGCCTTCCTTCCAAGGAGTTGCGGTTGGGTTTGAACCTCCAGCCTTCTGGTTAGCAGTCAAATGCCTTAGGCACTATGCCATCAGGGCTCCCTGAGTATGTACCTAGAACAATGTAATATATTCTTTTTGGGTTTTTAAAATGTACATTAGTATCATTCTCTAGATATACTTTCACTGTTCTTTTTTCCCACTTAACATTATGGTTTTGAAATTTATCCATTCATTAATTTTAGTTGTTACAGAGTATTGCAGTGTATTTCTGTATTATAATATATACATTGATAGGCCTTTAGTTTATTTCTAGGAGCTCTGGTGGCATAATGCCTAAGGCATTTGACTGCTAACCAGAAGGCTGGTGGTTCAAACCCACCAGCCACTCTTTGGAAGGAAGGTTAGACAATCTACTTCCATAGTGATATTGCCTTGGAAACCCGAGGAGGGGTCTCTATGAGTCAGGTCTGACTCCATGGCAGTGAGTTTCGTTTTGTTTTGTTTATTTCTAATTTTACAGTGCTTTAAACAACATTGCATTGAATTTCTTTGCACATTTCTCCTTAGGCACTTAGGTTGAGAGTTTTCCTAGGATTATACCTAGAAGTGGAATTGCTGGTGTTTAGGGCTTTTCATCTTTACATTTACTAAGTGATTATATGGGAGCTCTGGTAGCATAGTGCCTAAGGCACTTGACTGCTAACCAGAAGGCTGGCAGTTCCAACCCACCAACCACTCCTTGGAACAAAGGTTGGGCAATCTACTTCCATAGTGATACTGCCTTGGATACCCAAGGAGGGGTCACTATGAGTCGGGTCCAACTCGACAGCACATAACAACAACAATAAGTGATTATACCAATTTACATTCTCCTTTGCAGTGTGTATCAGTTACCATTTCCTTATGATCTTATCAAGTCTTGGTATTATTAAACTTTAAATTTTTGCCGATTTGAATGTTATAAAATGATATCTCAATAGAAATTACTTTGATTACTAGTAATATTGACCTTATTTACATATATCTATTGCCTTTTCTAAAGAGCTCTGGTAGTATAGTGGTTAAGGCATTTGGTTGCTAACTAAAAGATTGGTGGTTCAAATACACCAGCTGCTCTGTGGAAGAAAGATGAGGCAGTCTGTTTCGGTGAAGATTTATAGCTTTGAAAACCCAGTGGGAGTCGCTCTGAGTCAGAATTGACTTGATGACAATGAGTTTGGTTTGGTTTTTATTGCCTTTTCTAGCCACTCCTTGGAAGGAAGGTTGGGCAATCTACTTCCGTAGTGATACTGCCTTGGAAACCCATGGACTCACCACTATGAGTCAGATCTGACTTGACATCAGTGAGTTAGTTTTAGCTCTGTGAAATTGCTTGTTCATATTGTTCACCATTTTTTTCTATTGGTGTCTTTCAGTCTTTCTAATTGGTGATATACATATATATTATAATACTTATTCCTAGTTTGAGGCTTCTCTTTTCTTTTTATTAGGATTTGGGTGAAGATTTACAGAGTAAATTCACTTTTCATACAGCCGTTCACATATACTTTGTCTCATGTCATTGACCAAAATTTACAAT